GGGCTGGATGTGGTCCGCGGGCCACCAGTTGAGTAGGCCTGCCCTATATGTTCACACTATGCACTATGTGTCTGCATTTATTCTAAGTGCAGCATCATCATCATGGAAAAAAGCTAACATCCCACCCTGAATAGTCACAGTGCTTTAATTATTCCACCCAAAAACAAAACATCTTGAGCTCAACTGCTTTGACTAAAGGCTCCTGCATGCTGCTGCTGAAATAGTGCCGAACTGTCGCAGTTTCATGACGAAAATTGCATCACTTCTGTTCGCATTGCCGACATTTCGGCACTTCTTGTCGCAACCCGCGGTTCGAAATTTTCAACCCCCTCCACAGACAGTAAGAACACATACAAACTACAGTATATGGTGTGATTGGTCAGAAGTTCGTGGGAGTGTTTGTTCAGAAAGCGCTCAGACGCTGCATTTGCTTCAACCACTGGCTTCAAAAAAATAAGGAAAAAAGAAAAAAGCGATCGCTTCCAGAGCCGACTGCTGTACCAGGAAGCAGCRATTTATAAAGATGGTCAAATGGCCAAAACTCATAAAAGGGGATAAAACAGACATTTTTCACTGTGGAATTTAACTGATAAAAACTTTGGAGCTTAATCCAGGACCAGTTTATGGATAAACAACATCGAGTGACGAGCCGCAGACTTTTTTCCCCCTGCATTGGACTCCCCCGGGAAGGAATCCCATGTGGTGACGTATGCTGCAGCAGGAGGGGTTTCCCAGGAGCTTGTCGCGGGGTGCCTCAGGAACTGTGTGTGCGAAAACGAACGCCGAACAACCACGTGACCACGTGTCGACCAAGTGACCAAACTGCCTGCTTTAACCAGGTCCATTTTACCCATCTGTCTATGGCTCTGCCCATAAGACAAACTGGGTCAGTTACTCACTGATCTAACATCCTAGTGTATTACTCTAATTTCCCTTCATGGGATCAATAAAGTATCATTGATTGATTGATTGATTGATTGATTGATTCATTCATTCATTCATTCATTCATTCATTCATTCATTCATTCATTCATGCGAAGCGGGAGTGTCAGTCTGACTTTGTACACTAAATGTTTCTTTTTGTCTGTCGGCAGTGTGTGTTAATTCAAACTCAGTTCCTGTAGCCTCTGAGTCACAGTCCCAACTTTGTCTGCGAGGAGGCACAACTACGTCACAACCCTGAAAAGGAGTCTTTAGTTCCTGATACCCTATTACGTCGTTTGAACACACATCCATCAAAACAACTCATGCCAAAGTGATTGAAACTGCAAACTGTCATCAGTCATTTGGTCAGGTGTCTCAAGTGTGTGTCCTGCGTTTATACCTTATTTGACTGAAGGTTAAAACCAGCCTCCTCATTTAAAATGCTCTGTCTGGAGCGAGCATCGGTTTGTTTCGTCTCGATCATGGTTTTTGTCTTAGGGGAAAAGCTAGGTCAACATTTTCACTTCCATCGGTCTTAACAGCAAAAGTTTTTTCTTCTTATCAAAAATTGGCACCTAAATAATTTAGTCTGCCTGGTCAGTGTTGTTTCCATCAGGAGAACAGATGTGAACTGTTCCCACCACCTTCCAAGGTCCCCTTCAGCAGTGAGGATTCTGCCTAAGACAAAAGTATCAAGTTATGTCCAAAGCACGATGACTTTCTTCACAAATCTGTTTACATTAAAATTCTGCTTCTAAATACACCCTAATTTGACCAAAATATATCAACATCAACCAGAGTTTACCACACAGTCAATCTGACTGCCATAACTGTACAAATGTTTTTACTTTACAATCCTTTAATGAACAACCGATGTACGTTGAGACAGCTACAACATAATTTTTACTGCTCCAATTAATGAACTGTTGCGTCAGACAAGTAAATTCTGCCAGATACTGTGAAAAACGTAGCCCCCCAACACAAGAACCTATTCAATTCATACACATAAAAATTGGCACACATAAACAACCTTGTTAGACCTGGATTTTTGCTATCCACAATTTTTAATCACATWAACCTGGATTTAACCTAACCACACAGCCTAACACATAACTTTTTTATGTTTTATTTTTATCCATTTCTGACCTGGAATTTCTGTACACCTAACCACAGAATTACTAATTACATAATCCCTGGATTTATTTTTAACCACAGTCTAGATCTCTCGAGATATATTATTGTGTTTTATTTTTATGTTTTTATTTTTCTAAGTTTTTTTCTCTTCTCTATTTTATAAATATTGTTGTCAACTTTTAAACCAACAACAAAAAAACAACAAAAAATGTGTATTGTATGTGCTTTAAACCTACAATGAAACCAACATTCCAGTCTTCTAAACATCTTAACACATTTTACATTTTATTTGCGCTGCACAAAGCTTATCAGTTGTAGCCATTTAGCTCAGCTTAGCATAGCATAAGCTAGCATGCTATCAAGCAGAAAAAGTTTTTTTCTACTCGTCTCTAACGCTGTATCAACAAAAACTGCTACAGAGGGCAGCCATTCAATATATAAAAGACAAGAAAATTAAGTTTGCTCACCTTATCTGGGTAAGGCATAAATGCAGCTTCAAAAATGAATGGAAGTCAATACAAAGTCTTCGGTTTGATGCAACAACAAGGTAATGTGTGTGTGTGTGTGTGTGTGTGTGTGT